CAAAATTGTATTAGCATTTTTGCACTTTGATTTATATCATCCAGACTTTCAGTATATCAACATGTGTTAGTTTATCTTCCGCATTTAGTATGTTATGATATCACATGTTGATTCAACCAGCTAGTTGATTCGCTCGGTCACATGTAGTCAGGCACCGAGTGTCGTGTTACGTCCAGGCCCAGGTTCGGGGCGTGACAATCTATATGCAGATAGAGAAGGAAAGACACAAGAAGTGGAAAAGGTAAATGAAGGTGAAAATAAAATAGAATTTAAGTTTCTAAAAGAAAAAAAGAATAAAGGGAAAAATATACAAGAAAATGAATTGATAACAAATCCTCACTCTGTATCTCTCCATTTTTACCAAAAGATGAAAAGAGAAAAGCTTGACAAACAGTTTTTAAAGTTTCTAGATATTTTGAAGCAACTTTACATTAACATACATTTCACAGATGCTTTGACACAAATGCCTTCATATGCTAAATTTCTCAAAGAAATTTTGTCAAGTAAAAGAAAATTGGAAGAAGTTTCAGTGGTTAAACTTACAGAAAAATGTAGTGTGATACTTCAAAATAAGCTTCCACAGAAACTTGGTGATCTGGGATGTTTTACAATTCCTTGTACCATGGGAGGTACTCACTTTGAAAAGGCGTTATGTGATTCAGGTGCTTCAATAAATCTAATGCCTTTTCAACTTTTAGGAAATTAAAACTTGGTGAAATGAAAGATACTGGTGTGTCTCTTCAATTAGCTGATCAAAGTACTAAGAGACCAAAAGGAATTATTAAAAATATCCTTGTCAGAGTTGACAAATTTGTATTTCTAGTAGATTTTATAGTGCTTGAAATGGAAGAAAATACTGAGGTACTATTAATTTTGGGTAGACCATTTCTCGCAACAGGGAGAGCAATTATTGGTGTTCATCAAAGACAATTAATAGTGCGAGTTGATGAGGAAAGAGTGATTTTTGATATGCAGAAAATGATGAAATTTCCTGGGATGAGTCATCATCATCTTGTTTTCAAATAGACTTACTAGATGACCTTGTAGACGAATACAAAGATAATCACTTAATTACTGATTCATTGGAGAGATGTTTGGCTAGGTCAGGTACCATGAGTGATGATAACCCCATAATTAGAGAAGAAACTGAAATACTGGAAAAAGAGTCAAAGAATGAGAAAGTCTCACAAGAAGGAGTTCAATTAAAAATTGAACTCAAAGAACTTCCTTCTCATTTAAAATATGTGTTTCTTGAACCTGAATTATTTTCAGTAATCATTTCATCTTCTTTGACTATAGAATAGGAAAGCAAACTGATTAGAGTCCTGAGAAAACACAAAACAGCCTTAGGGTGGACTATAGCTGATATCAAAGGAATCAGTCCAGCTATTTGTATGCACAAAATTCTTATGGAGAATGATTATAAGCCAATATTCCAACCCCATAGGAGACTAAACCCAGCAATGCAGGAAGTCGTCAAGAAAGAAGTGGTAAAACTTCTAGCAGCATGTATCATTTATCCAATATCTGACAGTCCATGGGTAAGTCCTGTATAAGTAGTACCAAAGAAAGGAGGTATGATAGTAATAAAAAATGAAAATAATGAAATCATACCTACTAGAACAGTCACAGGATGGAGAGTCTGTATTGATTACAGATGACTTAATGTCAATGATGCCACAAGGAAAGATCATTTTCCTTTGCCCTTTATTGATCAAATGCTTGAAAGAGTTGCAGGCCATGATTTTTACTGTTTTCTTGAAGGATATTTTGGGTATAATCAGATACCAATTGCTCCAGAAGATCAAGAGAAAATCACATTCACATGCCCCCAAGGTATGTATGCTTACCGAAGAATGCCATTTGGACTATGCAATGCTCCTGCTACATTTCAGCATTGTATGTCGGCAATTTTCTCAGATATTACTGAAAAGTTTCTTGAAATATTTATGGATGATTTCACATTTTTTGGTAAGATATTTGAAGATTGTCTCTATCATTTAACTTTGGTGCTTAAAAGATGTGAAGAGACAAATTTAGTTCTTAATTGCGAAAAATGTCATTTCATGGTAACAGAGGGAATTGTTTTAGGACATAAAATTTCTGCTAAAGGGATAGAAGTTGATAAGGCTAAAATTGATCTTATAGCAGGATTACCCCCTCCTACCACTGTTAAAGGCATTAGAAGTTTCTTAGGGCATGCAGGTTTTTATAGAAGGTTTATAAAAGATTTTTCAAAAATCTCAAAACCTCTAACCAACCTACTGATGAAAGATGTGAAATTTGAATTTTCAGATGATTGCAGAAAAGCATTTAAGATTCTCAAGGAACATTTGACTAATGCTCCAATTGTTGTTTCTCTTGATTGGAGCGAACCATTTGAAATAATATGTGATGCAAGTGATATAGCAGTTGGAGCGATATTTGGACAAAAGAGAGACAAGAATTTCAGGCCTATTTACTACGCCAGTAGAACCCTCAATGAAGCTCAAAAGAATTGTGCTACAACTGAGAAAGAACTACTTGCAGTAGTATTTGCATTTGACAAATTTCGTTCCTATTTGATAGGAATAAATGTTACAATTTATACTGATCATGCAGCTTTGAAGTACCTCTTAGCAAAGAAGGATGCTAGACCCAAATTGCTAAGATGGATACTCCTTTTGCAAGAATTCGATCTTAAAATAAAAGATCGAAAATGTTCTGAGAATCAAGTAGCTGATCATTTGTCTCGTTTGAAAAATCCTCTTACTGAGATAGAAGATATCAAAGAGGGATTTCCCGATGAACATATATTTTCAGTCACAACCGTTATAAATCGACCACCTTGGTTTGCTGATATTGCCAACTATTTGGCTGGAGGATAGATTCCAAAAGATCTTTCTTATGAACAAAAGAAAAAACTTAAAAAAGAAGCACGACATTATTACTGGGAAGATCCTTACTTGTTTAAATTTTGTGCATATGACATAATCAGGAGATGCGTGCCGGAGACAGAAATGAACAACATCTTAAGTCACTGCCATGATGAGGCTGTAGGAGGATACTATGGAGGAAGAAAGACAGCAGCTAAAGTACTTGAAGTTGGATTTTTCTGGCCTACTCTATTCAAAGATGCAAGAAATTATGTTGCCACTTGCAATAAATGCCAGAGAATTGGTAACATTTCAAAAAGGGACAAAAATGCCTCTTAACTCTATTTTTGTGTGTGAAATCTTTGATGTATGGGGCATTAATTTTATGGGTCCTTTTCCTCCTTCAAACGGCTATGAATATATTTTGGAAGTTGTTGACTACGTTTCAAAATGGGTAGAAGCAATTGCTACAAGAAAAAATGATGCTCATATTGTTTGTGCTTTTCTCAAGAAAAATATTTTTTCTAGATTTGGAACTCCACGAGTTATAATAAGTGATCAAGGAACTCATTTTATAAATAGACAATTTGCTAGTTTGTTATTAAAATATGGAGTAGCTCATAAAACAGGAACTCCATATCATGCTCAAACAAGCGGGCAAGTTGAAGTATCCAATAGAGAATTAAAAAGAATTTTAGAAAAAGCTGTTAGTTCTTCTCGAAAAGATTGGTCTTTAAAGTTGGATGATGCTTTATGGGCATACAGAACTGCTTTCAAAACTCCCATAGGCACATCTCCTTATAGACTAGTTTTTGGAAAAGTTTCTCATTTACCTGTGGAATTAGAACATAAAGCATATTGGGCTATAAAATTGTTGAATCTAAACTTGCCAGAAGTAGGTAAAAATCGTCTATTGCAGCTTGATGAGTTGGAAGATTTCAGACTTGCAGCATACGAAAATGCTAAATTGTACAAGGAAAAGACAAAAAAAATGGCATGACAAGCTCATCCGCCATAAAGATTTTAAAGTTGGGAATCATGTTTTGTTGTACAATAGCCGATTGAGATTATTTCCATAAAAGTTTAAGTCATGTTGGACAGGACCATACACAGTAACAAAGATTACCCATATGGTGCCATTGAAATAAAACATATAAATGGGGGAGAAAAATTTAAAGTAAATGGTCACGGACTAAAGCCTTATGTCACCAGAATATTTGACAAACAAGTTTCAACGACCTTTATTGCTTACAAAAATTAAATAATAAGTCGAGATGACGACATTAAACTTAGAACTATATCCTTACTTTTTAAGTCTTTCTAAATAATATTAGTTATATAAAAATAGTAACGTAATTAATTATGTACATGTACATATATTTGATGCTCGAGTTAGTATTAGTGAGTTGATGATATATATATATATATTGTGCTCTTAAATAACAAATTTAAAAAAAATTATTTAAAAAACAAACAAAAAAAGGGGGGAGAAAGGCAATCTAGACACAACAAAATTGATTATCATAAGGGCTCATGCTAATTGGGTAAATCAGACACACCCTTCTCAAAGGAAATAATATTTTATAATATTTTTTCCTAATAAAATGCCTCAATTTTACCCCAAAATATAAGAAATTATAGAGAGCTACTCAAACGTTCAAGTTTTTGCCCGTTTCATCTCTTTCCCAAGAAAACCTTTACCATACCCACCTCCCACCACTGTAATTTTCTCATGTAATCATCAGTCCATCCTTACCAAACACCATATTTGCACATATCAAATTTGACGAGTGTCTGGTGTGTGTATAAATTAAACTCGTACTCTATCAAATTATAGTATAGAAAGATGTCGAACCCACAGAGATTGGTTTATCTATTCTACATACGCTTCTCGTTTTAATTACTATTTGAGAAAATAAGAAAGAGTTGAGTTGTAAATTAACTAACTAATAATGCATGAATAGAGCAGTAGAAAATATTTTTATTTTTCACAAATATAATAAAAGGCGTTGGGATCTTGACTTCACTTAATATTTTTATTATATAGTGGAATTATTATTCTTCAATTTCTATTTCTCAAAAATGTATAAATGCCTCTCACAATCTCATTCACCCATTTCATCTCTTTCCCAAGAAAACCTTTACCATACCCACCTCTCACCACTGTAATTTTCTCATGTAATTATCAGTCCACCCTCACCAAACACCATATTTTCATTATCAATTCCACCATTTCAACACCCAAATAAATATAAAAGAAAAATGACATCCTTGAAAAGAACTTTCTCATATATGGGCTTACAAAGTGAAAATCTTGACCCTTTAGTGCAAAGATTTTTGGAGACCAAAAAACTTTTTACAGAAGAATGCGAAATGGTCTTTTCCCCAACAGATGGGTCTCATGCAACCAAGATTCTAGAGAATGTTCGATCTTTAGGTTATGAAGGGTTTGTGCGGAATCCAGGTGATTATGTTGCTGAAATCGTTCTTGAGTTCTATACCAATATCAATAAATCTGAGAGAACTTCGAAAATTGGCGGTAAGATTATTCCCTTCAACTCTGTAGTTCTTAATGACCTATATAATTTGAAGGACATTAATGATGAAGGAACTGAAATTAAAATTGAAGGGAAAGATGAAATATTTATGGCGGAAGCTTTTAAAGAACTCTGTCCAGATGGTGTTAGGAGTTATTATAAGAATTCTTGGAGTGTCGCTGGATCATGTATGCTAGAATCTGCTAGAACATGGGGTAAATTTGTTAGTTTTTGATTAATGCCTTATCAGAATACCTCTAATTACAATCTGGAAAGGGTAATGTTGTTATATGCAATTCAGAGAAGTCTACCTATAAATGTCGGGAGAATGATTAGTGATGGAATTATTGCTAGTCGTTTTTCAAATGAGTCTAAATGTCTGTTTTTCCCATCAACCATTACTCGCCTCGCAGAAATGTTTAATGTTGATATGAGTAATTTTAGGAGGGTTCAAAGTAATTATGCTATTGATCAAAGTTATCTTTCTATATTACAACCTTCGCGAGGCATTGAAAGAAGAGCTTCACATGGCCAAACAAGTTCCGAAAATCTAGAATTAGGAACTAATGTGCAACCTATGCAAACGAAAACTAACATTGCCCCTGCGACTGTCTCATCAGATATTCTTGCTTGTCTGCAACAAATATTGCTAAAACAAGAGGAAATGACAAGAAATTGGGATGTGTTTAAGAACGAGTAAGTAATGAGGATAACTTATGTCATGACAGAGTTGGTACAGACAAGATCTAGTAAAAAATTTATTAGCCAAACTCTAGAGAATCAAGTTGCCTACACATTTTCGACGATCTAGATGATGGGAAACTTAATGTGGAATGTTGCTAATGCAGTAAGAAATTCTAACATACCAAATTTTCAGCCATATTTTGTTACAGATCCAGGCATGATCAGCTTCAATGGTGAAGGTATCAGTGTACATCCAGCCCAGGGACTTTCTATGTCAATGGTGTCACCACCTCCTATAGTGTTTTCAGAAAGAGGAGAAGTATCTACTGCATTTCCAATGTCATACACCAGTCATCCTTTTTCAGAGATGTCGCCCTTTCATGACTTAACTACCATTGGCAGTCCTTCTAACTTCTTCAATGAAGGACTTTCGAACCCGTCTCGATGTCCCGAGTTTGGAGAAATTAATTCAGAGCTTCAATTCTTCCAACATAATGGCACCAAGACGAGCCACACTAACTCTTGAATTGTTCATTCAGGAGAATGAACGATCCAAAAGTTGGGGATGGTAAAAGTCTCTCTTACTAGCTTTGCACTTTTAGAGTAATGTAGGTGTACTATTGTTTTGTTTTTTGGGATGATGATGGTTCTTATGTTTTTGGTGGTTTAAGGAAGATAGGGACTTGGCATGCTTCAGGTAAGGTATCTCTTTTTGTTAAGTAAATAACTCACTAAAGGCATCAGCTTGTAAATACCCTAAAGGAACTGATGCTACCTTTAAGGTTGGTCCTACCTGTTACTTTTAATATAATGCCAAACTCTCAGGTAAAATGTGATGCATTCCCATGTATTTTGGGTGTCACGCCTCCTTTTTCTACCCTCGGAAAGATATAAGGGAGTTTTTTCCAATTTAAGTGACAATCGGAACGAAATTATTTATTAAAATCAGAGTCGTCACTTGGGATAATTTATGGTGTCCCAAGCCACCGGTTTAAAATCCCGAATCGAGGAAGTTTGACTCTTATTTATGGTCTGCGAACACAGAAATCCGGGTAAGGAATTCTGTTAACCCGGGAGAAGGTGTTAAGCATTCCTGGGTTCCGTGGTTTTAGCACAGTCGCTCAACTATTATTAATTGGCCTAATTATCTGATTAATAACATATTTTATACCTACTGCATTTTTAACTTTCTAACCACTTTTAATTATTTATGGAATTATTTTCGAACAAGTTACGATTGTCGTACACTTGTTTGTTTGGTACACATTGCGAATCGTGTCACGGGAATCGTACCCACGATTTACAACATGTTTAAATTATTAACATGATTAGTTGTTGTGGCCGGGTCACATAAATGTACCCCCGAATTTAGAAATTATATATCACAACTACGTCACGGGAACCGTACCCGTAGCTATGATAATTTTATTATAACGCACCTAAAGCAACTAGCGCATTTAAATTATTTTCCTATTTTTTGAGATTGTTGTGAGGCCAAATTTATGAACAAGATATTATTGGGACAAATAGGCTAGCTAACATGATCTATTACTTGGCTAGATTCCTTATGGTCCAAAACCCACCTTATGGCCCATTCTTATTCCTTGCCAAGAAAGAAACAACTTCAATTTTTCTATCTATGCAATTAAAAGCATATATTCAAGAACCAAGATTACATATATCACAATCGAAATAAAAACTAATTAAAATAATTTAAATGAAAACTAACGCATACTACTCAAACAACGTAGAATCACAAATCAACCAACATACACACCAAGCTATCATAACACAATGAAATAAGAATGAAAATTGAGAAATAGACCTTTTATCGGTGAACAACGTTGAAAATTGCAAATCAATCGGGTTAAACAAAGTAACAATCCTTGAACCGAAACCTTGAATTGATAAACTAAAATTGTGAACCGGAACCTCCAATTGACACCGGCATGCCCGAGACCCAAATCGACTAACTAAACTTTTTGGTCAGATTAGATCCTTGAAAATGGCAGACGATCGAAAATGCCATTACACATAATGCAATGCTAGTTAAGTGAAGAAAATATCTAAATGGTCCAATATAACAACGCCAAAAGCAATTTGAGGAGAAGACGTCTGACTTGAAGATTTTGAATGCCAGTGATCTTCTGAGCCACTGTCACTAATCGCTGACAACACTCCCGCAGTTATTGCCTGTTCGTAAAGGGTGTTGTGGTTGTTTTTGTTGCTTAGGGATTTTTGGTCTTAGCTAGGTCTAGGTCTAGGAATTGAAAATTTAGGGTAGGATTTCTATAATTGAGTATTTTATATAGAGGTGGGAAGGGGCGATGACCATTGGATTAGAAGGAAATAGATGGCTAGGATTCTTGCACTTAAGTGGGTTAATGAGTTGGGAAGAATGGGCTAAGAGTAATTGGGTTGGACCATGTCTTTTAGGTTTGAACTTAGGCTAAAAAGACCAAATAATTCAATGTATCTATAAAAATATAAAAATAACTCTAAATTAAAATAAACTAATATAAAACTAAATACTACGAGTGAAACTAATTTTTTTTGTATTTTCAAATGTTATAATACTATAAATATAAATATACTAATTGACTTTATCCTAGAGATGAAAAATATTATTTTTTTGTAATTTTTACTTTTTGTGATAAAAATAAAGTAAAAGAGTCAACACTATTTAGAATAGCGATACTAAACCTAAATTAAATATTTATGCTAAAATGTGTAAAATCTTGGGGAGGGTCAAAAATTACATGTCTACATTGGGTCTCTGTTTTGTGTTTTGTTTATGTGACAATGTTAGTGTGTGATGTATTCTCATAGAATTGGGCATTCTGTTTTGAGATATTTTATATGAAAATGCCAATCTTTACACATCTATGGGAAAGTGTGATCAAATCTCATGTATTTTGGCATTATATTTTGTGGTCTTTTATGTGATAATGCCAAAGTATGATGCATTCTCATAGACTTTGGCACTCTGTTTCTATGATTTTTATGTGACAAAGCCAAACTATACACATCTTTTTGTCACTTTACTTTGAATTCTTCTAATAGTTTCAAACTTTAGAGTTTGGCATTTTTCACACATGTTTTCTGGCTAAGTCTCTTTATTATGCCATTTTGTTACAACTTTGTCTTTATATGTGTTTAAAAAAAATGAAAAAAGATTTCTTACACATGAATAGCTATCAGTAAATTTTGGGTAGAAACAGATTGAGCATTTCAAATTCATTAGAGCTTTTGCAAACTTCTAACTTTGTGCCTCTATATTTGCAAATGTAAAGACTCCATGTAATGAATCTTTGATCTTCGGGGGAATTATGGCATATGAGAATCAAGAATTTTGATAGCTACAACTTACCTCTATTGTTGGTCAAGGCAAAATCCTAGAAAAATGCTGATTTTGGAAAATGAATTAGGCTATCTTTGGATCGATTGAGCCTTTCTATTACCTACCAAATGAAAATTATCTTTAGTGTCCAAACTTTGAGCCTTAATCATTTTTTTTCTTCATTCAAACCTCGTAACCCAAAGTCAAAATGGAAGAAAATAAAATTACATTCTTCGTACAAACTCCATTTTGTATTAAAAAAATATATTTTTGTTCCCTTTCGTTATTTTTCTTGTAACGACCCGGTCGATCGTCTTAAGAATTAATGCCCTGATCCCCTATTAACTACTTTTTTTGAGTTTATTTCTGCTACTTTGATTTGCCGGGACGTTCGATTTTGAGTTTCGGAGAGTTTTGGGACACTTAGTCCCTAAATGAGAGCTTAAGTGTTGGAAAGTTGGACGTAGTCATAACAGTGTTAAGACGGCCTCGGAATAGAAATTTGATGGTTCCGTTAGCTCTGTTGGGTGATTTTGGGCTTAGGGGCGTGTTCGGATTGTATTTTGGAGGTCCGTAGCTAATTTAGACTTGAAATGCCAAAAGTTGAATTTTTGAAGTTTCCGATTCGATAGTGAGATTTTGATCCGAGGGTCGGAATGGAATTCCGGAAGTTGGATGAGGTTTGATAGACTTTTTGATCGAAAGCGTATTTTGAGAATTTTGGAGTTCTTAGGCTAAAATCCATGGTGAATTCGAGGTTTCGATATTGTTTTAGGTGTTTTAAGGATTGGTATAGGTTTGGGTAGTGGTTTGTGACTTGTTGGTGCCTTTGGTTGAGGTCCCGGGGGCCTCGGGATGATTTCGGATAGTTGATGGAAGATTTTTAGAGTTAGAGTTGCAGCTTCAGCTGCTGGTTCTATCATAACCGCACCTGCAATTTGGGTCCTACAGGTGCGGCGCCGCAGAAGCGGCTCAGCGGTCACAGAAGTGGTTTGAGGCAAAAAGGGAGTTGACCACAGATGCGGTCAGGTAATCGCAAAAGTGGCACCGCCTCTGCGGTAATGTAGTCGCAAGTGCAGAAAGTCCTCCTTTAATGAAATGTCGCAGATGCGACCGGGTTTCGCAGAAGCTGGACTGTAGATGCGGAAATAGCTGGGCAGAAATATGAAATTTCGAGGGTTTAGTTTCAAAAGTTGGAAATTCGATTTGGAGCTCGGGAGAGGGCGATTTTGAGAGAAAATTGAAGAGGAGATTATTGGGTAACGATTCTTTAACCCTTTCTAGTTATATTCCATCAATCTATAGTTAGTTTCATCATTTAATTTCGGATTGGAGATGAAAATTGGAGAAAAGTTGGAAGAAAGTTCTTAGACCTAAAATTCGACTTTTGATTGGGAATTTGACCTTAGTTTTGGATGATTTTGGTGTGCATGAACTCGTGAGAGCGTGAGGATTCTAAAAATATAAATTTTACCCGATTCCTAGACGTGGGCCCGAAGGAAGTTTTGTTCATTTTACCTAATTTCGCGTATTAGCTTAGAATTTCTTTGTAGAATCAGTTACTTGAAGTGTTATTTACATTATGAAATTGAATTGAATAGATTTGGGCCATTTGGAGTCGAGTACTCGTGGCAAGAGCGTGGTTTCGGATTGATTATTGAGCCGGTTCGAGGTAAGTAACTTGCCTAACCTTGTGTGGGGGACCTTCCCCTTAGGATATGGTATATTTGATAATTGAAATGCCGTGTATGTGAGGTGACGAGTGCGTACTTGAGCTAATTGTTGAAAAATCCTATTTTCTTTAAGTATTTCAATTGAGTTCCCTTTCCTGTTTCATCCTACTTGCAAATTTAGCCTGTTGTTAGTTTAGAAAAACATGTTTAGTTGACTTAATTGCCTATTTGCTTAAGCTGCCTTAATTGCATTACGTGAAGCATGTTAGGCGAGAATTACCTATTTACTTAGTACGAAATTTAGCTTAATTGAGTATTCTTGTGTTGTTGCGGTGTGTTTTACTTTGGAACTACAGGACGACATCCCGAGAGATCCCCTGTACGTATTTATGATTTGGACTGAGGTGCGGGATACCAAGAGATCCTTGGCACATATATTGAGGAGACCAAGAGATCCTTGGGATACTAAGAGATCCCTAGCATATTTTGAGGATACCAAGAGATCCTCGGGATACCAAGAGATCCCTAGCATACATTGAGGATACCAAGAGATCCCCTAATATATATATATATATATATATTGAGGATACTGAGAGATCCCCGGTTATCATCCTTGTTATGAGTGGTACTTTCTTGTGTTTGTCTTTATCTCTGTTTATTGTACTCCTTATTATCCTGTATATATTCTTACTGTAGATTCTCAATTGTACTGCTTATCTATATTGTTGCTCTTTATAATTCGTTTAACCTCAGTAGAGCCCTGACCTTCCTCGTCACTACCCGACCGAGGTTAGGCTTGGCAC